AGTGAAACCTTTTGAGTTAGCCAAGTGATTGTGTTAATAACAAAGCAAAACACTGTGCGGTTTAGTGTTCGTTAGTTTAGTTTAATTAAGTTAACGGACCCTAAGGTATACTAGCGAGTAGAACTTTAGTTTTTAAGAATGCAACACTAGTTAAGTTAGGTTATAACAAAATTACTCATTGATCAACTCTTGATCAGATTGTAATAATAATAAACGCCCCTTTTGAAGTGTTTTTTCACAAAAAAAAAACAAATGCCAAAGAAGTTATTCCTCATTAAAATCGTGTGGAGACGCATGCGGTTCTAATACCAATATACTCGCAGAGAGGGTTACAAAATATTGATCTCGATCACAAAATTGGATCACTAATCTACCAGTTTTCAAACATGGATAGGGTTAGTAACTCTATGTAAACGATTAGTAAGATTAATAAACTTTCTGATCCAAGCTTAGAATATAAAGAAGTAAGGAAGGAATTTGAGTGTCATATTTCCTGTAGAAAATTACGTGACAAAGTCGGCCATTGTGGATAACCGTTTATGAGTCATTGATTGTTTATTTGTCATTTCAAAGTTGTTATTTTGTATTATATTTTGCAAGTTTTTAGTTGTTGAACCATTTTTAGTTGATAATAAAATATTTAATATATGTTCTTATTTTAGTTCGATAATATATATAATCTTAGTGCAATAAATATAGTGATAAAGATAATGGTTAGTTGTCATCCTTGTGGATACTCAAAGACTGCTAAAAAGTAAGTACATTATCGTAATACCATTCATTTTATAGGTCCAAGTAATATGTATCTCTCTGTATATGTAACGTGTGGAGGGTGGGTTACCCCCACAGCACTTAGTCCTCATTAGGCCGCATTAGGCCCATTGTGTATCCTCCTAAGATGATAGTGGGTGAGTTACCCCCACATCACTTAGGCCTCATTAGGCCCATTGTGCATCCTCCTAAGATGATAGACACCTCCTAGCTCGTGAGCCAGCCTACAGATTTAATGTAGTTGTCAACGTCGCCAAGAGGTGCTTCTCTTATATCGGCCGGTATTAGACGATACTCGCCGAACACAAATCTCTAATAAATGAGAGCGTCGACCAATCGTAAAGGATATGCTCGATGGTCTCGTCTACTTGTTCGCACCCTCTGCAGAGTGCGGATTCTGACAGCCCCATGATATGGAGATGCTCCCGTACTTGGCAATGACCAGTCAGAATGCCTTTGACTAGGCGCATATTCTGTCTAGTCATAGTATTTGTTTGCTGCATGTTTTCCGGATAACTTGGCAACTCTTCAGTTTCTTGTTTCATACCATCTTTCCTTGAATTTCACAAGGGAATGTTCTTTAATTAGGTCTGTCACTACCGATTTTTTCAGGCCAATAGAAGGGCCAGGTCCAAAAAGTATTTGGTTGGCTGCTTTCTTGGCTAGTGAATCAGAAAGACGGTTACTTTTCGATGTGGCGTGATCTTTGATCCATCATTGTTGATGGATACTTCGGCCAAAGCTTCGTGACATTCTAGTACTAACCCTAAGTTAAATCGTGGTATGTTTAGGGCGAGTAGTGCTTGTCTGCTATCTGCATAGATGAGAAGTAATATGTATTTTACATTAAATTTTAATAAAAATATTTTTTTATATGGTAGAAAAGAAGTAGAAAAATAGGTGTCAAAATCAACAGAATAAGAAAAACAGGAAATGGAGATATTCTACTCGCTGTAGAGGGAGGGAAGGATAGGGCTAATAAACTAGAAAGGGAAATCCAAATTGAGAACGTTAATATTACAACGAAGAAAACTGGAACAACCCTTTACCTAATATGAATGGGCACAACGACACAAGAAAGCGAGCTTAAACAAGCAATAGTTAGAGAGACAAATATAAAAGAAGCTGAAATAGATATAAAAGTGATAAGGAGAGGAAAATATGTTAATCAAACAGCTATAATAGAGATTCTAAGGCTACCGGCAGCTGTATTAATAAGATTAAGAGAAAGAAAATTGAAAGTTGGATGGATAGATTGTGGCGTTAGAGAAACAATACATATGGTAAGGTGCTTTAAATATCTGAAATATGGACACAAAACGTACGAATGTAAATCAACTACAAATAGAGCAGAAGAATGCATTAAATGTGGACAAACGGGATACAAGAATAAAGATTGTAAAAATGCTGAGTGATGCATAAAATGTGAAGTTGCAGGGGACCGAGCGGACCAATTCAGATGCCCCTATTTTAAAGAATTGGTAGAAAAAATAAGGCAAGAAAGAATAAATTTGGCCAGTACGAATAAGGAAGGATGAAGAAGAACAACATAATGAGTCTTAAAGTTCTACAAACCAACTAAGGAAGAAGAAGAGGCTACGAATAACATAAAAGTAGGAAAGGCACCCGGTTAGATAAAATAACTCCTGAGGCCATAAGGGAAATCAAAAAAGAAAATCCAGGAGGGCTGATAGAAGTCCTTAATGAACTACTTAGACGAATTGAAGGTGGCTAAAGTAATTCTGTTGCCAAAAGAACAACCAAATTCGTAACGACCACTTTGTCTATTGAAAACAATTAGGAAACTGTATGAGACATTGTTTAAAGGTAGACTTGAGAAGGAAGTTGAAGCAAAATGGGGTTGGCTAAATATCAATATGGTTTTAGAAAAGGCCGTTCTACGGTGGATGCCATGAAAGCTATTAAAAATATACCGACAGAAGATAGAAATGCTGGAATGTACTAATCACGCTTGATATAAGAAACGCCTTCAATACTGCAAACTGGAACTACGTAGACTCGAATCTCGGGGGATATCTCGGTATCTCATCAACGTCATAGCAGACTACCATGATCAGAAAGTTATCCAAGTAGCAAATCGAGAAACAATAGAGGTAAAAGCAGGAGTGTCCCAGGGATCGGTTCTTGGACCGACCCTGTGGAATATCCTTTATGTTGAAGTGCTACATTTGGAATTGCAGGGTCGAGCACGGACCATCGGATATACTGATGAAAAACACCAATGAGAACCTAAGGCGCATTGAAAGGTGGATGGAAAACAATTTATTAGCGCTGGTACCAGAAAAAACCGAAGCTGTGATTCTGACATCAAAACGCAAAGGGGATGGGATGATGTTCCACATAGGCAATGAAACCATTAGGCCAAAAGGAAATATAAGGTACCTCGGAGTACACTTTAATACACTTTAATACACTTTAATACACTTTAATACACTTTATCTACAGGCAGTTATCAATATCACTTAATTAGAGCAAGTGGAAAGGCAAAAAATAGACTAGCCAAACAGACAAGATTGATGCCAAATATTGGTGGACCCTATACACTCTATAGTACTCTACTGGGCACCAATATGGGCTCATACACTAAAAGTTAGGAGGAACCGCATGATACTAGAAACAAATACAGAGGAAAATTTTAACAAGAGTAGCATCAGCCTACAAAACAGTATTCATCATGGCCCTATAGGTTATAACGGGAATACCACCAATCGAGCTTATGAAGAGAGAGAAAACGCATATGAACAGGGAAAGAAAGGAAATACAGAAAACCTAAACCTCAAAACCATAACTATAAGTAAGTGGCAAATACCCACCTCTTCACTATGTGATACAAGGGGAGGCAAGATTAGGTGCTGAGAGATTAGGGAATACACTGGGAAATCTTGACATTAGGCCAGGTCATATAAGTATCTCAAGGTTAGTGACAGGAGACGTGCTAGACATGAGATCAGACCACATAACCAAGAGGTACTCTTTTAATACTCCGTTTGAGGTTTTAATACAAGAAAGAGCGGAGATCACCATAAGGGAACCCAATACCCAACGACAGGAACAAACCTGGTATACAGACTGGTCTAAGACTGCGGAAGGCACTGGGGCAGGAGTATTCTCCAAAACCCTAATTTTAACCATAGCTGTGCTATAGGAATACATTCCTCGGTATTTTAGGCCGAGGTATACGCAATTTTGCATTGTGCAAAAACGAACAATGAAAGAGCTGTCGAAAATCAGCATATTCAAATAATGTCAGATAGCCAAGCGGCACTTAAGGCAATATCGAGTCAGAAAGTTACGTCGAAACTGGTATGGGAATGCATCGAAGAACTAAGAACACTGGCAGACCGAAATAGAGTAAAACTATTTTGGGTGCCAGGTCACCAAGGGATCAAAGGCAACGAAAAGGCTGACGACACGCCTATGTCACGCCTATGTCCTGCTTTAGGCGTCACGACAAAGTACGAAAATGTATTTTTACTCAAATGCCACGCTTTTTAAATAAACAAAGAAACTAAAAAAATGTTTGGAGAGGTAAGTCCTTGTTTTTTGAGACGCTCCCAGAAATATAAGCAGATGACCTTTTTTAGATCTCAACAACAACAACTTGATTTGATAAAAAATAACTGTTTTTTAACGAGATTCCCAGTAGTCACCGTTGTTTCGCTTTTCCCTTTCATAAATCTGGCAACCCTATTCTTCGAACACAATGTTTAATTTCATCATTAAGAAAATTAATCAACTTATTTTAGATTAGCACATTCATTGAGCTCTTTTTAAATTTACACATAATATAAAAATAACTTTTTTTACCAGAAACTTAAATATTATGTTTGTTGTTAATTTAGTTCCATGTAAAATTTTTCTTAGCGAATTTATCATTTTCATAAATTTGTGTAAAAGTCATAATGGCTAATTTATGATTTGCTATTAATAATAAATTAATAACTTAAAATCTGATCCTATCAAAAAGTATTGAGCTTTTATGACACATTTTTGTTTGATTTCAGTTTTCCACGTGATGAAAATAAAACAAGATTATAAACTAGTATGACTGAAATCCATGATAAATATTCGAATAACCATAGCGAATGTCAAACTCCCTAGAGAAATGGCAAACTAACAATGAGAGTCAAAAGAACAAATACCATTTTTTGTTTTAGGGAGATTAGACATATAAATAAAAAAATAAATAAGATAATTAAATAAAGTACCATTTGCATTGGACTTTTTCCAACAGGCACCTCAATATTTATATCACACAATTTCTTTCTTAACAAAGATTTTGGTTGCTCGTATAATTCAATAGTCAAATATTTTGGCACATTAGTAAGTTGCAACGAAAAAATTTCTTCTATTTCCAATTTGAAATCTTTGCTTAAACTCAAAAATTTGGTTTTGCACGCTTCTATGTCATTGCATAAAATTTTAAGGTAAAATTTAGTGGAAAACAATATGTTTCTTCTAGCAGTTTCTTTGTCAAAATTAGTATTTTCTGTAATTTCATTGGTTGCAGTCAGAGCTATAAGGACGTTTGGTTCTCCTGGTGCTCTCAAAGAAGATCTGAAAATTTTTCGTAACTGATTTCTGATCTGGGTCTTCTGGATATCTGCATTCTAAAAAAAAATACTTATTAAACAGAGTTAGTACAAGCAAGAAGAACTTTTAAGTTTTAAGGAGTAAAAAAATAATTATATAACATTGCCATTTCATGGCATCCATGATTTTATTAAAATAATTAGGATATAATTACTTTGTTTTACTAGATAAGGATGTGATATGGAAATGATTAGTTTGTGTCATAATATACCAGGTGCTCAAATTAAAGTGTTATAGTTAAATTTTTTTATTATATTTTTTTATAACTGGCCATAATATGGCCATATCGAGGTGGACTTTGTTTTTTTAAATGAGAATCCTATTTTTTTTACATATTCTTAGAGTACATAAAAAAATAAGAAACTTTTGATGGAAATATTTTTTTATTTGACTGTTACTTTTTGAGTAACGGCTACTTGAAAATTTTGCTGGCCATATTATGGTTAGCTATAAAAAACGATTTTAGCCAAAATTTTTTCCCTACAAAACTATAAAACTTTCGACTGAAACATTTTTTTTATAAAAGGCGGTATTTATCTGTAACACTTTAATTTGAATACCCGGTATAATATGACGAATGCTCTCTGGACTATCGATAATAGCATTAATTTATGTGATTTTATATAGTCCCGATATCAAAATAGATTATATTACAAATTATTAAAATATGACAGCTCAAAAGTAAACAGTACAAGACAATGATAAAGCAATGACAAAACACGACAAGTTTGTTTAGTAGCTTTTTACAGCATTAATGTACAAAGCATGATTATCAGCTAATAGTCAAATACGATGTATGATCATTGATTATTTATAAACTAATAAGATAGCAAATTATTAAATTAAAAAATGTACTTAATTTCTTGGTCAATGATAATTGAGAAAATTTAGTCCTGTATACATGCAGCAGTAGAAAAATAAAACACACCTCCCACAAAAGTTATCGCATCACTAAAATGTTTGCAAAAGCTTGAAGTTATTTTTTCGAAATATTTTTTTTTGGCGTGTAGTTTATTCTTCAGGAATAATAATCTCTATGATTCTTCAAATAAAATTAATTTTTTTAATGAATACCGGGTGTTGCCATAATATAGAGTTTGCTAATACTACTATCGGCTTTCGGTATTTCGGTCCAAGTTAAATCATTTCTTGTTTTTGTTACGCTATGAGTTTACCCTTGTGGGCCTCAGTCTCGATAAGGTGGGAACCACCATTTTAGCGTCTCTCGAATTATTATTGTTATTATTATTATTAGATAGCTACTTTAATGCTGTTTTAGGAAGCCAAATTATATTTTGAAAATTAAATATTTTGAGTTTGATGTTATTTCAGTAATTAACAAATTAAGTAGTCATATTTTTATGGTATTAATTAAAGACACAAGTGGATGAAGGGCCTATGTAGCAAAATAATTTTTACGAGATATTTCGTGTTAAAGTTTATTATTTGGCAGTTATTCCATAGTACATGGGTCCTTTATCCACTGGAAACTTCTATATTTGATGATATATTGTTACGGAAGATATTTTAAACGAATTTTAGATACATAAGCTTTTCATTCACAAAAAAAAACACCATTTAAAAAAAATCTTACATAGGCCCTTCATCCACTTGTGTCTTCATTATAATATACTATTATTGCTGGTGTTTCGAATTTTTCAACCAAAAGCCTGTATTATTGGTGCAGCCGGTATTCACTCAAAATTTAAATTTTATTTAAAGAAACAAAGAGACTACTATTTCTAAAGAATCAATTTATCATCTAAAAAAATAACATCCAAATCGATCATACGGTTCAGAAAATAAAATAACTCATTTTTTGTGGTGCGTAGTTTGTATTTTGAAATGATGTAAAATTTGAGATAAAGTTGAGAATAGGTTTCTTTAATATGAAGTGGAAATTTGAAACATTAACCAACCTTTGAAAAAGTAGTCGTAGATGTTGTATTTTCACTTTTTTCTTCAATACTATCTTCACTGATAACAATTTCCTCATGTCTTTGTTCATTTAGCATCTCCTCAAAACTGTATTCAAACATTCTTTTATATTCTTCACTTTCAAACGTGTAATTGGTTTTTTCTTTTCTAATTAACAATTTGACATCTGTGTTTGAGTATTTTTGTTGACAACGTATTTTTTTAACGTGTTTCCATGCTTCGAGAATAGTTAATATAGTTTCTTTGTATCGTCTGCTTTCTTTAAAGTACTTAGTTCTTATTTTTTTGATCTCGTTACCAAGATTAGTGGAGTCACCATGTTCGTATCTTCTTCTCCGTAGTTCTTCTAGATGAGTCTTAAACAAATAAAATGGTACATATACAGGGTGTTTTTTTAATATTACGAAAAAATTAAGAAGCGTGTCTCTTGGACGAAATGAAGCAAAAACGTTCCTATGAACATATGTCCTACGCCTCTTAGATTTTGAACTACAGGGTGGTAAAGTTAAAAGAAAAAAATTTATTTTTTTCGATATATTTATTACCCCTGTAGATATTTTTCTGAAAATTAGTACGCAGTTTCTATGCATCCAAAGCCATTTTTCGATACACAAATTAATCTTTTACATTCGCCATTGGCGTTTATGCGGGCTTTGAACTGAATATTTTCTGAAAAGAAAACGGTACGCCACTGGTTTTACCTGTAATAAAAAAATATTTTTGAATTCTTTATTTCTTTTGTAGCATATCTGGCCTCCTGGTCTGTTTTCGCTTGATGCACGGTTTTCGCACAAAAAAATAAAAACCATTTTTGTGGATAGCCATAGTCTAAATCTGATTATGTTATTCAATTATTAATTTTATTACTATTATTATTAGGGTCGGTCTTTTCACCTTCAGATAAACTTCTAGATAACTAACTGACGGATATATTATCTGAGAGTTACCATCTGTCAGATAATTAATTTTCTGTCTTTTTAAGTAAATAATATGCAGGGTAGGTAACCAGTAGTTTTTAACCTTATGTGGTTAGGTAGCTACCTGTTTATCCATCAGTGAAGTATTTTATCAAGAATTTCATTAGTAAGATAAGTTATCTTTCAGAAGTTAGGTTTATGCAGAAGTGCAAAGATTACTTTTTGAGATACTTGGGAGATAAACATTACCTGAAGGTGAAAAGACCGACCCTTATTATTATTATTTTTATTATTATTATTTTATTGCATTTTTTATGGAACTGAAAATTTGCAATTTAAGAATGAAGAACTTTTGCTCCAGCATTATTTTCTTAAAATTAATTAATTATTTATTCAAGAAATACTTAACAAGTTTACAAAAGTTGTTGGAAGTGGCCTTCGAAACCGCTGTATAACAATTTTCATTTTGATCAAAGTTTATTTGAGGTTTTGGCCAGGATTTTGGGATTTGGCCCTACTCTGCGACGGGCCGAAATTAGATTTTTGGGTTAATATATTAGTTCTAACATTTACCTTAAGATTTTGTATTAAATTTTCTTTTTGCATCGACTTATACTCATCATAGGCGAACTTCAGTTTTTCAGCAAAAACATTTTCCGCACTAAACAGCGGATGGTGATGAAATTTTAAATGGGATAAGTACACGTTTAAAATATTTTCCGTTACAACTACAAGTTCTGTTAATTCCGTATGCAGATCCGTAGATGATAGAACGTAATCAGTTAGGTGTGGTTCGTTTAATTGGTAATTTGAGGGTCGAAGAGAAATAGAAGATAAAGGGTTTCCTAGAAAATTAAGATTTCCTTCTGTGTCGAACCATCTCCTACAAAAAAAATTAAAAATATTTTAATGTAAGCCATTTCATTATTCAGGTATGCTCTAATCCTCCAAGTCCCTCTCTGTCTTATTTGGCCTTTGAGGCTCAAATTGTCCGATTATCATACATAATTAAACTCCTTAAGACCAAACATATGTGACGACTATGGCGGGGGTGCTTTCGATTACTATTCGAGGAAGAACGGGATAATGTTTTTAGTTTATTCCAAATATAACGAGATATTTCTAGTTTGGCGGAGGAGCATTCTGGAACCTTCACCATAATTTTAAATTTGTATATAAATATTGGTGGAGGATCAACGGGGAATCAGTTATAGATGGACAGTGAAGATAAATAGTGAACAGTTTAACCCTTTCAGTCACAGCTTTTAATAATAATCGGAAAATTCTCAAACTTATTATATGGAATAATATGACTTTGCTATAAAGCTTTTATCAGTTTTTTTTTTTCGATATGTCAATTTTCAAATGACTTATGACATGTCCATCCTGATGGACATTGTGACTTATTGGAGATTTATTAAAGGGGTTAAAAGGACATGAAAAACAAGCAAATAAATCAAGTTTTTATTTGAAATAAGTAAGTACATTATAAAATATATAGTAAATAATAATTGGTGCATGTGAAAATTAGGGAAACAGTTTCTGCCACCAACAAAGCATAAATGCACTTTACATTTTATGCAAAAAGTTCTTGATTTCCCCTTACAATTTTCCATTTTACATCTTGTACTATCTTTCTTTCCATCTACTTCTGGTAAATGTCCGTAGTTATCGTATCTTTGTTCCGAATATGGTCGCTCTTCTGTTTTTTTTTGGGCTGTTTAGATATATCAATTTCATCAATCATTGATGGTCTTCCTTTTTTTGGTATATCCTTGTGCAAAATTAGATGTTGAGCAATATTTAGTCTGAATTTCCATAAATCAAATATTTTATTTGGTCAAACGCCCAGTTGAAGAGCTTGTTGTTTATATTCGAGCCACGAATTTGCTGCCGCCATGTCCAAAGCATGTGTAATCATGCGTACTGTCCATTTTCTGGAGCGTCGATAAGACCGATATATACTCAACAGAAAATCTAATTTATCAACACCCCCCATATTTGCATTGTAGAGTGTTATACATTCAGGGCGTGCTACATCTATGTAATTTTTGGATGCCTTATCCCACCTTTTGCAACTATCTAATTTCCTTTTTTTTTTTTAAGGTGAAGGGGGAGAAAAGGTCCTTTATATCTCACAAGGAAAGTCAATGTTTAATTATTTAACAACAAAACATTGAGTGCGACCGGTTTCGAAGTGTCATCACTTCATCTTCAGGCTCGCCTAGTGGAAAGGAGAATATGTGGTGTAAGGTGTGTTAACTTGGAGCAAACGATATATAAAATAGTAAAAAAGAGAAAACTCACCATACTCTCCATCCACTAGGGAATACTACAAAACAAGTTTCATCAAATGTGGGGTGAAATAAATTGTAAAATGAACAAAGTTTACAAGTAATAAAAAGTTAAAAATATTTGAAAAAATTGACTAATATTTGTTTTTTCAAATATTTTTAACTTTTTATTACTTGTAAACTTTGTTCATTTTACAATTTATTTCACCCCACATTTGATGAAACTTGTTTTGAAAATTGTCGATTTCAATTTTATAGGAATTATAGAAAATCGATCTCCACTGTAATGGACGCGATGACTGAAAGGGTTAAAGACATTCGAAATATATATAAATTAGAATAGTAGTGTTATAAAATAAATAAGTGTTTAAATACATTATTAATAAATAAATTGTTGTTTAAAATAAACAAATATCACAATATATTCTAATTATCAAAAGTAATAAAACAAATATTAATGTAGATTATCTAAATACAAATTCTGTCGATTTTGAGAAACACATAATATTGCTTGGAGGTTTTCTAAAGCCAACATTATTTTTTAAGAAAAAGGGAAAGATCGTTTGATAATCATCAATTATTTGAGTTGTTTGTTAAAATTAGAAGGGGAATTAAGAGAAAGAAGAATAATGTTTTTCGATTTTTGTTTTTTGTTTTGAAATATTTTACCAATGCGAATGCTCTTTCGTTGGTAGTGGTATTATACAAGTCAGCATCAGGATTATTGTAGTTTTCAGATTTAGAAGTTTTACTCTTTCTTTACACAAGTAGCAATTTAACGATGAACCAATTTAATACATAAAAAACTATGTACTTCTAAAGAAAAAATAATAGGGAATGCCAATTTTACCATAATTGCCTTTTTCTGTACGTCGCTTAGTTTTTTTTAATTTCATTTTTTATGTTTTCATTTGCCACTGGTAAATGAATATTTCTTCCGGATTCCAGGACCATTTCGCCTGGTGATATCATCCCTTAATAGTAGAATTGATAACAGAAGTTAAAGACCTATAAATTGTTATTAATTGGGTCTTTAGACTAGTTGGTTAGTATATAGCGGCGAAGTGGTAAAGAAAGTTGCGCAAACATATTAGGTTGCGTGTTCGACCTTAATATCCCTGTTTTGTACCAATTTTGTCAATTTTATTGTGTTTTTAAAATGTCTCAGTCCTAAATATAGGTAGCAGTCGGTCGTTTCCTGAAATTTGCTAAATTTATTTAAGAGGAACATAGTACCTTATTCTCGTAAAAACCAGAATAGCCCAAAACAGGACAAACTGAACGTTTTAATTTGCAGTGATCATGCGTATACATTCAGTTAAAAAGAGTCTTACCAAATTTCAACATTGGCCATAAATTATATCGCAGGCGTAAAATTAAATTCCTACAACTAGGCAAATGGAAATTAAGAGCTGACATTCAGCAGAGGTGTTAACCTTTTTATTAGTGAGATCTGGGTGCATAGGTTATGAAAACACTTTACTTTGAATATGACTTCCATGGTCTTATTTTATTATAATTAAAATACTTGTAACCGCACCAGGTACCTTAATAATTTATTAATTCCATTTATTAAATATAATATCACATTCTTTTAAATTCAAAATGCTTCATTTAACGAAAAATCTTCAAGATAATTAAATCTTATTTACGACACCTAATAAATAATAGCTATAACCAGGTCCGTAAAGATTTAAAATTAGTCCACGTGTCCCTGAGAATCAGCCCAAAGAAAACACCATAAAGCGTATTTCTGTTTACGAAGTAATTATCATTAAAACACTTAACTCGCTTATATTTCTAATTTCGATTTCTAGACCGATTTCGACAATATTTCAATACACAAAGATTTCAAAACAAGTAATAAATAACCCACCCCCTTTTGCACCTACATTCGTATTTTCTATGAGAAACAAAACGATAGAGACGTCACAGAAACGATTAAACTGTGTATAAAAAGTCTGACGAAAAGGAGCTCATAAGCATTCAATTTTTATCATTTGATGTACAAGCATACATTTTAATATTTTACATTCAAGCAATCACTTTATTGTCTGTACCCAGTTATATAGTCTGTACCCTCCCAAGTAACAATTTGATATTTTATAAAAGCTGAAAAAATGTTTACAGAACAAAATTTATAAAATAGAATATTAGCTAAGAACATTTCCGGAACATTCTTTCAACACTAATAAACACAAAATGGGCGCAGTATTACAGAACTATTTGGTTCTTTTGTAAATTCTATAAGATTTGTTGAATGCAGTTACCGAACAGTTACTACAAATTTACACAGACTTTAAACAAATGTTTTTTTAAACTTTTATAACTGTTTTATAAATTTTTAATTTTGAGGTAAGGTTGCATATCAAAATCAGTAACATTTTAGTTTTTTAAATGTATCTGGTGAAAACAAATTAATTTTATATTTGTCATAAAAGTAAATTCAAAGCGATATTAGTAAAATGGCAGTATCTACTTAAGAGATATCTATAACGCGGTTTAGACATAATGTATGACTTACAATAAAGTCGTTTTTGGATGCGCAGCAAGAATTACTGTTAATTATATAGCACATGCAATACTAAATTTTTAAGCGCCTCGAGTTTGATTCATATTTCTAATACTTTTTCAGTGTGAAACAAAAATTAAATTTATGCAATTTGATTTTTTTTTAGTAATAAGATTATACTAATATTACTAATGATTAAAATCTTTAATTAACATTGGTTTTGTCTTAAATACTAGTAAAACCGACAGTAGATTTAGCTTTAAAACTCTCTTAGGATTTTGTTAAATATGGCGGCTATTCAGAGGTAATAGAAAGTTATTTTAAAACTGAATCATAATTATAAAATATTATTGTAGTAAAAACAGCTGTAATACAATAATTAAGTTGTATTACTCATTTCTACAAAACAAGTTCATCATGGTTTGTTGTATAATAGTTTCATATTGCTGCACTATATGACAAAATATAACATAACCTTACTAAATCGTTTCCCATTTAAGAATTTGAGAATTGAAATGATTAGATTTGTTTCTACAGCTTTATAGAGCAAGCATAATTTTTAATATTACGAGAATAAGCAAATTTAACATGGACATCGCCAAAAAAATGGCTTTCTTTTAGTATTGGGGCATGATTATTCAGAACATACCTAATTATTATCTGGCTGAATAATATTTTTTTTTGAGTGTCTAGACAAACCAGCAAAATGTTTTACTAATATTTTTTACTGTTCTCTGAAAAGCAGGTACCACTTATTTTTTATATTTCTTCACTATTTAAATCTGACATTTTCAGACTATACACTCACATACAATTGGTATGGGAAGTAGTTGAACAAACATAAAATACAAAATAATATGCCGTAGATACTACCAAATGTAGTTGCTTTATTTTTTTTATAAATATTTTTAAAGGGATAATACTATTCTTAACTAAAATAATTGCTATACAGTTTTCTGATTTGTAATAGTGTATTTCGACAATATATTACAGTTATTTTAGAGTTTTCATCAGAAACAAATTGCTGTTGACGCGGAATTATCTCACATTAATATTTATATAACTATTTTTTAAAGC